GGCAAAATTTCGTTAGAGATGCAACTACATGTGATTCTAAGACTTCAGCAGCTTCTTCTACAATAACTGAAATTCAAATCAGTTATTCAATTTTTTTTTATATGTATTTATAATCTAGTTTAAAATTATTATTAAAATACTTGATTAAAAACTTATTGATATTTTAATAATTTATATCATCTGTATTTAATTTAAATAAATTACAAAATTTTCTATTTATTCAATATATAATTAATTTTTCAGTATTTATATAACTTTAAAAATTTAAGTTTGATTCTGAGCAAAAAAACCAGAAATTACTACCATTCATATTACAATATAGGCCATTTAGGCTGTTTAGAAAAAAAATAAATGTTTTAGTAATACTTTTAAATGTTAAGTAGAACAAAAGCAATTGTATATATTAACTGTACTTGGTATTGTTATAAAAAACAAATAATTCTAACATTTTATAAATAATTTTTTTATTATAATTAATGAATTATTTATATATAATACAATACACAACTAATAAAATATTATACTAACCTATGGGAGGTTTTAGTTTCAACAAAAGAGAACGCTTCATTGAAGCTCCAGTAGTAGTAAAACCAACTACATATGAATTCTTCAAACGTTTTTGTGCTAAAAAAGTGTTAGTATTTCTAAGCACATGAGATTTTACAATATCAGATTTACATCCACGGCCAATTCTTGTAACACATTTAGTGATATTAATTAAACCTTCAAGAAATTGATCTAAAGCATGATTTGTATAGCAAACGACTATAATTGGGTTTTTAAGTATATTTGTTTTATACATATTCTCAATAATACTTTTTACTATTTTAAGACCAATATATGTTTTACCAGTACCTGGTGGTCCTTGAATGATAGTAAATTCTTTAGTTAATGCTGCTTTAAATGCCATACTTTGTGCTGAGTCCAATCCTAAGAACTTGTTATCAGGCCAAAGATTGTTATTTAAAATATCAAATTGTAAGCCATTGATAGTATATATTTTTGATTTACATGTTAAGTATGCAGGGGTTTTAGGTTCAGTTTTTCCAAACACAATATATGATTTCATAGGAAAATTAATATGATTAAATGTTTTTAAAACATTCATGGTATACATGTAAGGTAAAAAGAATGCAACAGATTCAGCCATGGTATAAGAAGATTTCATATTAATTGATACAGTATGATCTAAAGGTTTTATAACTAATGTTTTTAATGACGATAAAAATGTTTGGCTAATTCTAATGACTAAGGCAAAAAACATTGTATCAAAATTATCATTACTAAATACTAACATTGATTGAGGCATAAATCTTTTTGAATCATTTGAGCAATCATCTTTAGTGTAAAAATTAACTATATGTACTTTTTTTCTTTTTACATCTTTTACTTTAATCTTTACGTTAAAATAAATATGCATATTAGGTATCATCTTTACATCTGGATTAAATTTAGTCACTTCTTTATAACACTGAATACCTTCACGCATTGGAGCTATAAAATCTTCACGAAGTAAACGAAACTGCACATCTATATAGTGTTCAACATTGTCATAACGTCCTTTCAATATATTTTGACTCAAAATTACTCTCTTTGTAGTTATATCCGAGATTGAAGGATAAATAGAAAGAGTTTCATAATACTGTGGCCATCTTTTAATTTTATAATGAACGCAATCGTTATTTTTAATACTATTTAATATTTGTATAATTTTTTCAGTCTCTAAGTTATCATAATTTGATTCGAGTTCTTTTTCATCAAATGACATATTTTCAATAAAAAAAGATGTTTTGAATTGTATTATCTCATTTAAAAGAGCTTTACTTTTTCGATTATCAATGGCTTTTAATAAAATATTACAATTATCAAAAAATTCTTGCAATTTTTTAACCTTACATATTGTATCTTGAGATCTATTAAGTTCTATAAAAGAATTATTCAAATTTTCTAAATATGTTGAGTCACATATCATGTCTAGTACTATCGTCTTTATTTGTTTAAATTTTAATATTATTTTAGAAAATATACTCATTAAAAATATTAGAACACTAATATCTAAACATTTATTCAAAGTATACTTGAAATTGTTGTTATTTACAATTAAAAGAACTATTTCTTCAAATTTTGAATCTGCTAATGAATTTAATTGTTCATAACACAAAATTGATTCAGAGTTTGTAACATTTAAATCAGTTATTTTATCACATAATACATCCATAATTGATGTTTCTTTCAAATAATATGGTTGTACAAATTTATTTTTGCATACATTGACTCCAGGTATCTCAGAAGTATCTTTTTTAATTGAATTGATATCATTTTTTAATTTTTCATCCATAACAAAGATTTAATTTTTGTACCTGAAAGATATTAATGAAAATATAAACTAAATACAATTTAAAAATTCAAACTTAAATAAAGAATTAATTGCATTAAAATATTTATCAATTATTTTACAAAAATAAAGTTTTTGTAAAGCTTATAAGACATTTTTATACTTTGCAAATTCTTTAATAATTTACAAATTTTTTTTTTAGCTATCTGATTATTAAAAGTTGCATTAAAAAAATATTATTAACAGTTTAGTAAGATAAAATAGTTAGATTGTTTTATAAAAATCTTTTGTTTGAGTATATTCACATTTATACCAATTTTTAAATCAATCTAACTATTTGAATCAATAGAATATTTATAATTGAAAATATATTAATTGATACAATAGTAAACTCAATGATTAAAAACTAAACAGAATTTTATTATGGAAATTGTAATTCTTAGTTTATTATTTTTATTATCTAAAAAATATAAATAATTAAATAAATTATAATATTCCTTTTTTAATTATTAAACGAAATAACCTAATATATATTATTTATTCAGAAATGAGGGCTTTCATGTATGCACTTAAGACCTTTCAGATATATTGTTTTTTTAACACAGATTTAATAAAATTAAGACATATATATGTTTAAAAAAATAACTATTTTTAGAAAAATTGCTGATAAATAAATCATTTTCACATATTTTAATCAGAAAAATGATTAATATATTTCTTGATTTCAACTTTTGATTAACTTTTATTTTAAAAATACAATCTGTACAAAAAAAGTTAAGAAATTAAGATAAATATCATTAACATTTGGATAAAAAGCAGTTACTTTGTGTACATTTATATTACAAAGTAATTTTATTATAAATTTAAATTTAAATTAAAACATAGGTTTGATTAATCTTAAAACTCACCAGTTTGGAGATTATTAACTGTTGTGTATTTTTGCTACAATTTGGTGTAAAATTTATACTCAAATTTATTTTTGCATAATCAACGAAACATTAAATAACTAATTATCTGTAAAATGCAACACTAATAAAATCAAATTTTCAGTTTAAATGCATGTTAAATTGTATAAGCTTTAAAGAATTACTCGTTCATTTAGAAACATGTTTAGAATTTTGAAATTCTTAGATATATATGATAATGATAAATGGACTATTGACAAGAAGTATAAATCAATGGATTTAATTTTGAAATTTTCTAAAAATAAATCTATTAAAAATCCCATATAATTAGATAAATTAAACAGTGTAGACAACTATAAATTTTAATTTTAATAATTTAAACATGGGGGGTTACTCATTAATATTAAAAAAATATAGGATTAGCAACTGCAATCACAGATATTAAAAACAACGTTGTTTTGTACGTGTAACTACAATTTAAAGCTATTAATATTCAAAATTAATTTTCATAACCTTATTAATTAACTAATAATTTGGACTATTTTTAAATTAATTAGTATAGTAAAGCGCGTAACACAGCTTAGTTGAAAAAAAGTTGAAAACGTTTCTACTAATAAATCTGAGTTAACGAGATAAATTTAAATTATTTTTATACACAAAACCCGTAAGCCAAAAATTTTAAAATTTCATGATTCTTAACTCTCATTGGACTATTTAAGATTATTGTACTACGTATAACCATATTTTTGATACCTACTAATAAATATAAAAATTGTATAAATACTATTTATAGTCAGGGGAGCCATTTGTGGGAGGGGAGCAGGGTGTGCACAAGCACACCCTAAATTTTTTTCACTTTCAATTATTGGCTATTGGTCTAGGCGTCACTGATACATGGTCTTGCCGCCTTGTCTTTCATTTTTCCAATCTTTAATATTGTGCATGCACCCAAGGCCAGGGAAAACTATGGGCGATCCGGGCGATTGCCCGGGGTGCCAGTACGAAAGGGGCGCCAAACTGAAAATTGTTTTCATCTAATTTATCTAATTTAACGTAATAATACGCATTAACGACCTACAGGAAGTAAGAATATAACAGTTGTGCTTTCTACTTCATATAGGTACTGCATTCATACAGCGCTGGTTTTGATGTAAAAATAATGCATGGAAACCTACCACCGCATTTATCTGTGTAATTAAATAGATGGTCGTATTATTTATTTTTTTTAAATATTTACTCGTTTACAAATAAATTCGTATAACCAGTGCCGCAGCTACCGAATATTGCGCTCGGGACGAATCTTCAGAACTTAAGTATTTTTTCATCTATATAAAAATCTAGCAACACACTGAATATTTTATCATAAACGCAATATAAATAATATATTTTCCTTATAATTACATAAGCGTTTGATGATTCTATTTAAATCAATAGCTTATTAAAATCTAAATATACATAACTAATAATTATAAGTAGATTCGTAGACAATGACGGCGCGAAATATTTTACTTCATGAGTCCTGTTAGAATTTTGGCCACCCACCCACCCACCTAAAAAGAAATTTAAGGGCAGCTTGTAAAAAGAGCTCCCTCACTATTCGTTCTACATGCTGTATACCCACTCGATACCCAATGGTCAATACCCACCCACCTACCCACCCATTGACTTGATTCCAGGGACTCAAAAATCTGCCGTCACGCCACCACTGTTCGTATACACAACATAATAATATTTATTGATTATACGGGTAAATGTATAAATATATAATATTACTTTAATTTGTAAGTGACAATTAAATTGAATTTTTTTCATTTTTTTTTTATATTTTGGTTTCTTATTAATTATTTACAATGAATTACGTTCTCTGGTTGTCTTATTAAATGAGTTGTTAGTGGAACACAGTATTCCTATATTGTAGGCAGTGGTGGCGTGAAATAATATATTCCCCGAACTTTCAAAAAGTAAAAAATGCCAAGCTCAAAATTAGAACTATTATATTCTTGCAACGAAAAAACATAAACCTGTCCAAAAAATGCGTTGATATAATATTAAGTTATTATATTAAATATGTACTAATTTTATTTAAATTCACTAAAAAACTTTTTTTTACTATTCACTCAAACTAAGTGGGTTGGAGAGGAGGGGAGTTCAAGGGTGCCAAAACATGGTTTCACCCAAGGTGTCAATACTTCTAGCGCCGGCCCTGCATGCACCACAGCTAATCAGTAATTACTGCTAATCATAAATGTTGGCCTGGTGGTGGGAAAAAATTTGCCTTTTTAATTGTACACCCTTAAAAAAAACTGAAATGACGCCCCTGTTTTTCAATGATATTTATATAATAAGTATTTTTACTGTAGTACTTACGAAATATTCCTAAATTGGGATTCAATAGTTCTCTTTTGTAGAATATATGTTTGATTAGTAATTGAATACAATATATATTAACGTATTTGTGTGAAATTACAGAGAAATGTCAATTTTTTTTTTTTATACATTTTTTGTTAGGTACTGAAACTAAATAATACAAATCTTAAAGATGCAGCACTATTACATTACAAAATAAAAATCAAATTAGTCATTATAATAATCGTAATAATATCAAGTCAATAATTTCCTTATCATTAACGATGTCAACATTCGAGAACAAAAATCAAATTATGTCCTCGAGTTATTATCCAAGACATTAATCATTATGAGCAATGAAATAATTCAGAAAATAAATATGCTTTTTTAAATTAATGATGTATCTATAAAAAATGTTATAATTAATTATTAATAATTGCATTGTGTTTATTATCTCGAATACAAAATAACACATAAAATAGCAAAATGTTCGTACTTTTATTTACTATTATACTAGAGATGTTAAGTTCTTGAACGAATTCAAATGAACTGTTCACTTTGGTGAACTATTCTGACCTGTTTCAGTACCTGTATTTTAACAGTTCACAGTTCAAAAATATATTGGTAACATTGTGTATTATACATGTTTAAACTGTAATATAGTTCGTGAACTTTATATAATGTCTTAATTATTTACCATTAAGTCTAATGAGTTTATTATTCAAAATCACAAAACAGCTGTTTCCAATGTCTGCATTAACTGTTCATGAAAATAATTTTATCAGATATTACCATAGAATATAAAGAAATAAATATAGAATACATAATATATACTATTAAATTAATCTGAATACATAAATAGTATGGTTTTGACATGTTTCTACATTGAAAATTATTTGATGTAATTATTGATAAGTAATAGATATTTTAATTTACTATTTGTAGGACCTACTAGCAGTGATAAGAAAAATAGTTCATATCGTTTGGGAAATTAAATTGAATGAATCATTTAAACTAGTGAACTTATTAAACTATATGAACTAAAGAATAGTTCATTTGAATTATTAATTTCAGTGGACTATGAACTATTGAACTTTTCCTTAAATTTAATTGGAAATTCCTTCTCTATATTATACGGAAGCTGTAATTATAAGTTAAATTCCATTATTATAACTATTCCCTTAACTATGTTGCGTTCCAACCACGGTGTAAAAAATAATCTTCTCTAACCCAACCGTAGTTTAAACCAAATATGGTATCAGCAATAGAAACGATTTGTAACATCAATACATTCTGTGTTGTGTAATCGCGGTGCAGAAATTTTTCTCATAGATAATAAAATAATACTCTATTCATAGGCGCAGTTTGGATGGGGGAGGCTTGGAACCCTCATTTTCGAAATTAAAACCATCAAATGTGTTCATGTGAATTTACAATAAAATATTCATTACTCATGATGTATAAAAAAACAGAGTTTTTATTGTATATATGTATACATTTATTATTTAAAGAAGTTCGTCTTTCGTCTCTTCCATCCTCGAACTGGATAATTGTAATAAGTAGGTTGCTAGATTTTTAAATCCCTAAACTTAGATTATCATATTGAATGACTTTTTTTTTTAATTTGATATGAAAACAAAATAAGTATATAATTTTGTAATTTAAATATTTATTGGCTAATACAAAAATACATTATTATTGTATATAATCATACCGATTAGATTACCATTATATAATAATATAATGTACAATATTATTCTATGTTTTATAATATAATATTAAATGTTATTTTTTCTCAGTTTCTATAGATCCGGGATAAACTGAATGATGAGCCGGGACACCGGGACAAGTGGTAAATATACTGAGTTTTAAAGAAATGATAAGTAATTTCTTTATCAAAATGGTTCTGAGCAAAGGTTCAGTATAAAAATCAACCATTTATAAGTATATTTTACCATTTTTAGTCTTATTATCGGTAGGTACTTTTTTTTATCGACCTGTTTAACATTTTATTGTTTGACGAAGAATTTTTTTTTTTTTTAACCAAATATTTATCTATGTTCAAAGTTTTATTATCATTGAATGGGCCACATTTTTTTAATAAACATATGTTAAAAATTTTATTTATTTATTTATTTTATTGTTAAAAATTGATGTAAAAACAGTAAAATCCGTAAAATTCGTTCGTATAATAATTTACTTAACCTCTTATGAAATAAATTTCAGACTAACGATTTTTAAAATGTTTTTAGTATTGGTAAATAAGTACTCTTATATGTTTTAGGTGATATTAAATTTTTACTTAATATCTAAAAATAAAAGTTTTATTATATAAAGACTTTCAAAAAAGTTTTAAAAGTTCTATAATTAAATCAAAAGCGCTTTTTGAAAATTATATAAAATACTTTGCTATAGGGTAAAATTTTCAAGTTGTTAGCCACATTACTTTTGGAATTATGACTAAATAACTAAAATCTGAAAGTCTTATTTACAGCGTATTTTTACCGTTTCAGGACAGTTTTTTCCTCACGTCTGGAGAAACTATTAAGATTTAAAAAAATTACCTATCTAAAGTACCACCACATGCAAATTTAAAATTTAAAAAGTTCTCAGAAAAACTTTTGGACCAGTATATTTCTATCCGAAAAAGTGTTAAAAAAATAAAATACAAATATCATTATAAAACCATAATATCCTTCGTTTCACTCAGAATCTAAAAGTGATCTCATATGATGAAACATTTGTGTTAACAGACGGGTAATTCGTTATACGCGCAATAAAAATATAAAATCAAAGTAAACAATTCAAATTTAAAAATATTCAA